CTCAGGGCTATCTAATAAATGTAAATTTATTTCGCTCTGCCTTAACAGAACGAAAACCAAGAGGTGGGGGTTCTATCCACCCCCCTCCCCCTCCCCTTGTATCACAGTGGGGGTATGAGTTAGCTTGTATGTCCAAGGGTTGAAATTCAGCTTGGCAGCGAGGCCTCGGGGACACAAACAAAAGGAAATTGAATGATCATGTTTATTCATTTCTTTTGTTTGTGTCCTCTAGACCTCGATCACAATCAAGCTGAAGTTTAATATATCGAAAGTGGCCTATTGAAGGGCATATTTATTCATTTCTTTTGTTTTTGTCCTCTAGTCCTCACTGTCAAGCTGAATTTAGTTCATAGAAAGTGGCCTATTGTGTAACATCAGGCTAAATGAATTACTTAAGCTTCGAAATTCTGTACTGAAGTCAAATCGGAAATGAAAAAGCCCAACCACTAACACTAAGTACTCTCACAGGTGTTCGTACTCTCACAGATAGCTTTGTGAAGTGTCTATTATTTTTAGACAATTTTCACCATTTTTTCCTGTAATTTTTAAGAAGCTCACTGGATTGTGTTGATTCTTTAATAGCCTGTTGAATCAACATTTACAGGATGATTTGAAGTGATTTTGAGATCCTTATTCACTTGCATTATTAAAACTCGCGTTCTTGAAATCATCTGGTCTTGCATATTGATAATAATGTTAATGACATGACTTTTTTCGGAAATATTGTATATTTGCGTCCTTGTAGTGTCACGCAAATGACACAATATTCCCGAAAAACGTAACGTTATTCCCTTATTTACACCGCAGTTCAACTGACTTTGATCTTTAGTGAACTCTTAACTACATTTAAGTTGTCCCTGAAGGGAAAACACGAGCTTCACTCTATACACTTGGCAGCTTGACGAGAGCAAGCCAAATATACTCATTAATCACCACGCGAACGTTAACTCCAACGTTTCAAAAGCGTGTAGTTCGAGGATCAAACTTTCCAGAAGGCGACATTTCAGGCACAATTCCATGTAACCTCATACATTTATTATACAGAGTTCTTTGATTTGTTCACGGGAAACAATGACTTGACCAGAATTTCCTTTCTGGTGTTAAGCGCCTTTTCTTTCAAAGTCCACACCTAGAAACTACATCTCCTTTTCCCAAAAACTTTCTGATTTCAAGTCTAAAATATGGAAAATTGAGGAAAAGTAGACTTTTGGCTCAATAAGCAAAATATACTAGTTTGCATTGCTGTTTCACTCAAGAGTTATAACCGCTTTGAACACAGTAAACAGAGTCTTGGACAATAGAATGATCAGATCTATAAAACCTAAAAATTACGAATAAGCAATAACATCTTGTCTCTGTCTTCCTTCTGTGGAACCAGTGTATACCTCAGTTAAGAAAGCACATGAAATAACGTTTTTATTATATAGACACGAGTGTTTTACTGGAAAATACACCACTCATACGTAAAATTCCAGGGGTAAAATTCATACGAAACTACATCCGGGACCCAAGTGTCGTATTATCTATGTCCTCACTGGTTAGGATATTGATGACGTCATTTCCCGCTTTTTCACAGTTATTTGTGTAAAACGTCAGTTTATACATGGAATAAAATAAAAATTACACGGTGGCATGAAATTGAATTTTAAATTATTTTCTCGTGTTAAAATTTA